ATACTTCCAACTGTCCACAAGCAACCAATCTTCGGTAAACCTTAGATTGTCCTTAACAGTTGTTTAACAACTTTAGTCATATAAAGTTCTGGTCCCTTTTCCCTCTTAATGCGCTAGGCATTTGGAAAAAAAATATGTGAATATCATAGCATATGCAATCGATCCTATACCCGAAACATATCGGACACGAATCATAATGTCTTACATAAAGACATGATACTAGATCAGTCTCTTGCTATAATATTTGTATATATAGAATTTACAATGTCGAAACATTTCAACATTATATATATCCATGACTAAGTCCCATTAAAATTTCAATCTAAACTTTCAGATTCGAAATGAAGTATGAGTTCCTTTCCCTTAAATCATACTATAGCGAAACAACTTTTCAAACTCTGCAACTTTCCAAATTAAAACTTTGTTTCCTATAAATGACATTGCTAACTTGCAACACTCATCGTAATAATTGTGCTCCCACTAGCATAATAATTACATACTTACAAGCATAACACTTATGCTCCCACTAGCTTTGACATGTACTCAGAAATCAGTTGGACTTCTAGAAATCAATACTTATTGACTTTCTTACCAAAGTTCAGATTCCTGATACGAGACGCTTCGGTAAGCCTTTATCTATGCTTCTCAACCTTGTACACCATTCAATAGACAACTTATGTGTGGGTCTAAACCTTTTCAGAACTTATAGCGATAAGTCCCAAATGTTCAAACTTTTTGTCGTTTCTCACAATTCGAACTATGAAGAGGGATGTTGTAATCATACTCGAATTTGAGAACACAATAAACACAACTTCTAACTCTTTAAAGTCTTCCAGTGAAAGCGTTTCCTCACAATCATTTTCATGAAGTAGAGAGAAATCTCTTATCACTTAGATTTTATGATGTATGTGTTCCTATCCATGTAAACTTGTCATTTTGAACCACTATCACAAGACAAGGTTTATGACTAATTCAGACTCACATGGAGTGAACCTGCTTATTCTTAATTTCTTGCCATCCGACAATACAAGGACCTACCAGTGCTTCCAGATTATTGAGCAGTTCATCCACACTGATCAATGTACTCTCACTGATCAAGGTGCTTTGCCTTACGCAATTAAATGAGAACTTATAGAACTCACATGCATAGTCAACTCAACTGGAATGGGCACAGAAACAAAAATATGTCAACACAATAAGCTATCAACCTTAGTTCGTGTGCTAGTGATAACTAAAAGGTTTATTATTGATTAGTTCCTGAATCTTTTCAAGATCATTAAGACTCCCACTGACCTCTTGACATATAAGATTCTCTTGTCAAGGAACATTCCTTGACAAACAAATATTCAAGAGTTAGTGAGGATTCTTATCAAGAAAAAACATTTTATACAATTGGTCTTAGTTGGTCTTTGTTTTATCCAAAACATCACAACTACCAATTTGAAATGTGCAAGAGTGAGGAACTTTTCCTACTCCACATTTCATGAGGTGTTACAAACCTTCTTAGAACATGTTACTCAAGGTGCAACTTGAAGTAACTAAGAGTATAACTCTAAAAACCGATTTTGGAACGAAGTACGATTCATCCTTTTGATTTTAACCATTTCAACAATTCTCGATACCTCTTCTTAGTCATGTAAATACACTAAGGTGTCCTTAGAGGGTCAATTGTGACATGATTAACACCATAATGCTATATTAAGATTTACTAACAATTATATATTAAAATTTAATAAAAAGAAGGGGAGAAGTTGGGTAATCCATGATTAACAAATATGTAAATAACACAAAAATAAATTGCATATAAACTTTTGCTTTTGGTCTTTTTTGAGACTGAACTTTTGTTGATCTTGGAATGACCGGTGTTTTTTGGACCTGGTCTACAAACGGTATAATTTTTTTTGAGATCGGTATCAACCGGTCTTTTTTTGGACCGGTCTCGCTGTTTTAAACTGGCACGATTGGTGTCTATTTTCGGAATCGGACGGAAACCAAGTCTTTTTGTTCATGTCTAATTTTGGTGTTGTTAGAAGCAAAGGAGTTGAGTTGGCTCGAAGTTGAGAAGAGATACAACGTTGAATCCCTTCCTTTTGCATATAATCACGATTTTTGACCAATGATTGATGTATTTAAACCAACTCCAACCAACCACTAAAACATTATTATAAAGGTCAATAAAATGGTGTTCTTATTCCAATTAACTTTAAAAAAAAAAATACAATTTTAATGTCTGGGAAAGCTTCATACCAAATATGAATGCCAAGACCTCTAAAAAAATACCATTTTAATGTTTGGTTGGAATACAAACTCCAGTATAGTGTTAAACAATCACCAATTTAGTGTTTTATGGTTGAAGTTGCTCTTAAAGCATCTGAACAAATATACCACAAACCTATTTTTGACGATGTTATGATACTTTTTGGACATGATAAACTGCTCCTTTATGTCAAGGCATGCCATATACCGCTCATAACGATAACATGAAGCACTGACGGGCTTGCAAACATTGTAACCACCGATCCGTCCATAATCGGTACTCACTCCCATGAAGCAGATTCGACCCCAAATCAGATAACCTAGTTTGCACTCCTCCTTCTCCAATCAGACTTAAGCCACACACATACTTCGATCAGAACCTATCTTCTTCAGGTCCTTGATTTCTACTCCCCCCATATACATATTCTGATTTCTGCTCCTCCGTAATGGATTCCATTGCTGGAGAGTTTTCTTGGAATTTCGTCTTTGTATATATACTCAGGATGTTGTATTGCCACATAATATGAACCTTCGAATGCATTAGGCTGAAGAATATACCACGGGATGGAGGAGCAGGAAGCTTACCCGTACCTCGGAACACAATACCGAGGGTGTGGGAAGCTGGGTGCGGGAACATAGTGACGGAAGCCTTCCCCACATCCTCTCTCCTACTATGATTGGCCCTTTAATTTTTATTTTGTTCTTTTTCTTATTCAAACGGTCAGAAATGGTTAAATTATATATATATATATATATATATATATATATATATATATATATATATTCCTTTTCAACAGATATAACTCAATTTTTATTTATTTTTCAAAATCCCAAAATCACCCTATAAATACCAAACCAACCCAACTTAATTTCTACACATTTTTCTACATATTCTCTCAGTAAAACCACTAAACACAATGTCGTCATCTTCTTCCTTCTATTTCACGGCTCAAGAGGAAGCAATATTTGTCGATTCCGTCATGGAAAAAACTGTGGCGTATTTTCAAAACCGACAATGTAAAAGTTCACGTTCACGACCTAAAACAAGAAAGCCGCAGTTGCGGAGAAATCGTGAAGTCGGTCACAATCGTCTTATAAAAGACTATTTTGCAGATGATGACATGTTCGCTGAAAAGTTTTGATGACGGTTTTGGATGAGGAAGGAGTTATTTTTACATATTGTTGGCGATTTGGAAGGCCGTTTTCCGTATTTCTAATGGAAGCAGGATGCAAGACACATAAAAGGTTTCTCTCCGATTTAAAAATTCACAACCACAATTAGTCAATTAGCATACGACATGGGGGCAAACAAATGGGACGAATATTTGAGGGTAGAAGTTCGCGAAAGCTATTACTTTGGTTTACGAGCGACGATATTTGTGCAAACCAACCATCAATGATGTCCACCAATTGTACACAGTGCATGAAAGTAAGCATGGGTTCCCGCGAATGCTAGGTAGTATCGATTGCATGCATTGGGCTTGGACATTGTGCCCTAAAGCATGACATGGTCAATACATGCGAGACGACCACAGAGAGACGATGATTGTTCTAGAATCAACCACGTCAGATGATCTTGGATAGAGCATACATTCTTTGGTGCATATGGTGCAAACAACGACATCAATGTTCTGGACCAGTCGTTGGTATTCAACGACATCTACCTTGGAAAGTCGCACGATGCACCTTTTCAAACAAACGAGGTAGCATATAAGCGTGGGGTACTATCTTACTGATGAGATATATCCTACCTTATATGTTTTTGTGAAATCGTTCACATATTCGAACGACGAAAAAAAAAGTTTAAGCAGGCACAAGAGTCAGCTAGGAAGGACGTGGAGCGAACATTTGGTGTACTCAAGAGGCGTTGGCAAGTACTAACAGTCGGGACACGATCATTTGAATTGAGAAGGTTGCAACACATAATGCACGCATGCATCATATGACATAATATGATTTTTGAAGACGAATGAAGAGCGATATGTCGATACAGTGAAAACGAACTTTTGCCAAATATCGAAGGAGTATCCGTTGGTACGCAAGAGTATATGACAGATAGAAAAAAGTGGATGATCGCGACATTTATCACGTCCTTCGTGCGGATTTGGTGGAGCACGTTTATAAGGCTTACATACAGCCCTACACAGAGTATTGACACGATGATTTGTTTGACGAATAAAATGAAGATTCAGATATGTTCGTCGAGGGTGACGATGCCAATGATCACGATGACGGTGATGACGATGACGATGATCACGATTACGAGGACAACGATTCCGAGTGATGTATTTTGTTTTTTTTTTTCAAATTCGGATATTATGTAATTCTTAATTATTTTTTCCAGGCCGTTTTTTTTAAATCTAGGTTGTGTTTTTTTAATATCGGTTGTTTTCTCGGTTTTTTTAATCTTGAATGTAATTTTTATTTTAAGTAATGAAGTATTTTAATTTTAATTAAATTTTGTGTTTACTAATCATTTTTAAGAAATTATATTTATTTTTTATATTATAAATCTTAAAAATCAATTATTTTTATTTTAAATAATAAAAGATATTAAAATATGATAATTATTACGTGTCACGTATGAACACATCAGCCCGTCATCCAAATGAGCAGTTTCCGGCCCCAAATCAGATACCTAGTTCGCCCCGGATGTACATGCTTCATTTATAAAGGCCCATTAACGAAACCCAATAAAAAGTTAGTTAAGATTATTTTTGTATATAAAGTTAACTAAAAACTCGGTTGAAAAAAGCAAAGGGGCTCTCAAGTCTCATCTCACACAAAGTCCACAGAACCCTCCTCAAAATCTTACTGTTGGTCTCTGTTTCTCAGCTCCCTGCTGCCGCCTCTCGCTTGCCGTCACCAGGCGAACGTCCACTGCCTGTGCCCTGCTAACGCCACAGCACCACCAGTAACTGCTGCCTCCCTCCTGCGTCCTTCAGGTACAATCCCATCCAAAAATCGAATTCTACGCAATGTCTAGGATGATTTTTTAGTTATCAATTTACATTTGATATTTTCTTTTGAGACTTCGAACAGTTTTTTTTTTTGTTAATTACTAATTGATAGTAGCTAATGTTTTGTTAGGTTTGCTCGTTTTTAGTTATTAATTTTTACTGGTTAATATTTCGTTAGGTTTTGTTAATTGGGATTTCGCCACTGTTACCGATGTCGATTGTTGTCGGAAAGCCTGCCACGGAAGAAGCTAACAGCAAAGCGGACGATGAAGAAGTATCAGAAGGCGAAGTTGATGAAGAAGAGGATTCATGGTCATCTGATTCTGAAATCGGAGAAGCCTTGGATTATCTGGACGCCAAAGATGATTCAGGAGCAGTTGATGGAGCTCTAGTACTCAATGCAAGACGTCCAAATGCTCATGGTGGAATCCACTCGCGGCCTAACGCGTCTCCTCTTCAACCACTCTCTAATCGGAACCAGAAGTTTACTAATCATATCAGAGCTTCGCCATTAGAGGTGTATATTTACTTTTGAAATTGGTTATTACTGCTTGATATGGTGTTAACAATGTGGAAGTGTATGTAATTATATTTCTGTTACAGGAGTGGGAAGGAAGATGGGATTCTGGTATGTCAAACTCTGTCACCACTGCCATCCGTGAAAGTGTGAGAGGGATGGCCATTGGTAAAACTAAAACTACTGAAAAAGCTGATCGAGCAACCGTTGAACAGGTGAGTGTCTACATTCAATGCTCAAAATTATTGTTTGCCTTTAGGTTTTTGTTTCTTGGTTATGACCATATTATCTGTTTTGAAATGGAATCATTATTTTTCAGGCAATTGATCCTAGAACTCGTATGGTTTTATTCAAAATGTTGAATCGAGGTATTTTCCATGATATCAATGGCTGCATTTCAACTGGGAAAGAGGTATGAATAACAATTAAAAATCCCATTCCCATCTTTATCATTCATTAGCAATTTTGAGATGTATTTACTTATTACGATTTTTCTGTCAAACAGGCAAATGTTTATCATGCTACAAGATCTGATGGCCAGGAACTTGCAATCAAAGTTTACAAAACTTCTGTTCTTGTTTTCAAGTATGTCCTATGTCCTAATTCTTCTACCTTCTTTAGATTATGTCACATCATATATAGTAATTATACTAATGATCTTATTGTTGTTGACTACTTTAGGGATAGAGATCGATATGTACAAGGTGATTATCGATTCAGATATGGATATTGCAAGCACAACCCAAGAAAAATGGTTAAGACATGGGCTGAAAAGGAGATGAGGAACCTTATGAGGTAACATATTTTTCATTTCTCAGTGATATTTGATTAATGATAAGTTGATTACTGATACCCCATTATGAGTTTTCCAACAATGGTTTTATAAAATACAGAAACTTTACAATAATGTTTTCTAATGACTGTTCAACTGTAGACTGAAGGCAGCTGGTATTCGTTGCCCCACCCCAATTCTTTTGAGGCTCCATGTCCTGGTTATGGAGTTCATAGGTACATGGTGCCATTTATGTTTTTATTTAATATTTACATGATATGCTATCAAATATTAATAAATAAAAATTCTTGTGTTTTTTTTTTTTTTACATTTACTGAAGTTTCTTGGTATGTTATATGTTCAGGCAATACTGGATGGGCAGCACCCCGGCTTAAAGATGCTGCACTGTCTCTTGATAAGCTACGGGAAGGTTATTTTGAGGTAAGGATAATAATGTAATTTTACATTCTTACAGCTACTTATTACCCGCTTTTGCAAACTTGATTGTTCTTAGTGTGTATAACAACCTTTTTGTGTATCTATATGTAGATGATAACTTCAATGCGGGTATTATATCAAAAGTGCAAGCTAGTACATGGAGATCTTAGTGAGTATAACATACTTTACCACGAGGTAAATCTTCTTTCTGTTTTAGTTGAGCATTTTTAAGGAATGAATAAATACCATCTGATTATTGAATATTGGTGGTAGGGTCACATGTACATCATTGATGTATCTCAATCAGTTGATCTTGATCATCCTCATGCACTTGATTTTCTGAGAGAGGATTGTGTTCACGTATCTGTAAGTTTTCCATGTTGTGTTTTAAAATCAGTAATTTAGTGGGATTAATAAAATAAAAGCAATGAAATGTTGTGGGATGCAGGATTTTTTCAAGAAAGGTGGAGTAGCTGTTATGACTATTCGTGAATTGTTTGATTTTATTGTTGATCCTTCGATTAATGAAGATTCTGTGGATAGTTACTTGGAGGAGGTATATTTATACAAAAATGTTTCACATTTTTATCAGTTTATATAACAAAGTAGTATATGTAATATCATTAATCAATTTCCATAAATTCAGGCTCAACAAAAAGTTTTAGCTAGAGGGGATGAGATATCTGCAGAGGAAGAAATTGCAGATGCTGTTTTCGTCCAGGTGTGCATCACTTTACTTTTACACATAATAGCAACATATTTACATTTTAAAGTCGGTTTCTTTTCTGATTAAAGTTTTTTTTTTTTTTTTCTATTATTTTTTTAGTCATACATCCCAAAGACTTTGGATAATGTGACAAATGCCGAGGAAGATGTGATACGATTAACGAGTGGGCAAGACACTGGGGATATGTATTATAAGACCATTACAGGGCTCAATCATGCACGATCTATTGAACAACAACAGCATAATGAAGCAAATCTTGGACAAAATGCCCCTGCTGGTGGTGGTAAAACAGAAGGTTTAGACTTGCAAGATGATGATGAATCAGAGGGTGAAACAGATGATGATGATGATTCCTCTGAGGATGGATCTTTTTCTGATGATGAAAAAATGACAGCTGAGGATAAAAAGGCAGCTAGGAAAGAGAATAAGAAGAAAGTGAAAGAAGAGAAGAGAGAAGCTCGAAAGAGTAAAGTGCCGAAAGCTGTAAAGAAGAAAAAGAAGAAGTTGGCCAAAGCAAAGAAATATCGGTAGAGTTGACTTTATATATTTAACAATTTTGATTCTGGTATATTGTAGAAAATTGATGACATTTTTGTATTGTGACTAGAGCTTTATTTGCTTGTTTATTTATTGTTACCAATTTTATTTCAACTGCTGGTGTTATATTCTTTTCCTTCACATTAGATGTGTAATTCAGCATGTATGTATAGGGTTGCAAACAATTTGAAAGCATAGGCTCAACAATGTGAACTTAATATTAAATTTGACCTAATAGCTCCACGTATCTTTTTGATCCAAGTTCGAGCTAGATTTGTAGATTCTAATTCAACTTAAAAGGTTCATATCCGTTGAATATATTCATCAAAATAATGCTTTGACCAGTCAAGCTATTAAGATCATATTCAATAGGGCGAGTTGTCATATATTGTTGGTTTTGGGGCTGAACCATTTATATTTTATGTACTCCATTAAAACCACTCTATCTATGATGAAAAGAAAAAAAAAATCCATCAATGACCATAATGACATTTTATTGCCCCGAAGGGTGTTACCATGATAAGAAGATATTTTTTTAGTAAGCCATCAAACTAACATGTTTTTTCTATTTTAACCATGATGAAATAAAAACAAAAATAAAAATAAAAATAAAAAACTTTTTTAGTTTTTTTTTATAAAGACTTTTATTACAAAATTTGTTAAATACTGTTTTTATTGTTTTTTCTCTTCCTTTTTCTTTTGTAAAAATAAGAAAAAGAAGAAAACCATGAATATTTTTCTTTTTGGAAACTGAAATTGTTAGTTGTGATAGTGTGACAAAATAAAATCTTTATATTTGACAACTTTTTTCAAATGTTTGTGCCTGCTAGCACCAAAAACTTAATGCTACATACCATCAACAATTATCGCTCAATCGATTATTCGGTAATTATTGACATTACAAACCCAAATTTAATTACTCAATAAGATTAGGAAAAAGTACACTTGCTCATGTGAGTACCCTAGATATAACTTATTTGTTTATTTTAAGGGTGAAAAAGTATACTTGTTAATATGAGTACCCTAGCTTTAAACTTATTTGTTTATTTAACGATGAAATCATATCATGTTTGTCATTCGTTTGAATTTGTTTGTTTATAAGACTATAAAGTTGAGGATTTTTCAATGTACAATTCATATTTAATAAAGATAGAATACACCAATAACCAAAAGAAAGATGTGTTGGTATATGTTTTGTACAATTCATATTTAATAAAGGTAGAATACACCAATAACCAAAAGAAAGATGTGTTGGTATATGTTTTGTAGTAGGTCCCACACATAAAAAAATAAAAATATATCATTACTAAATTATATAAAAAAATATAACATTTATTTTAAATTTTAAAAAAATGACCTACAAATTGAAAAAAAAAACGAAAGCATATTATTATAGGCCCAAAAAGTAAAATTACAAATAGTTTTAAGTGTGACAACTCCTTAAAAATAATACAAAAAAATCAAATGATATTACGGAATTTAACAAAAATTTCTAATTCTAACAATCTTTTCTAAGACCGGAGGGTGTGGGTGGAAAACTCCCCTCATTTTTTGTGGGCCACAACACAATTTCCCTTATTTTTCTTTCCTTCACCTAAACCCAATGAATGAGTGAAAAACTTCCCTCATTATTTTTTTATTTTTTTAAAAAAAATATATTTCCTACAAATATTATACTTATTTTGTAGGGAATTAAAAACCATGAGTTTTGATATTTTTTTATAATTTTTAGTAGATATATAACTTAATAAGTATTAAAAAAGATAAAAAAAAAGTTGGCCAATAGGAATAAGAGAGAGAGTGATGGAATGAGCTCTCTCACCTTATTTCCTCACCACCTTTCCCTCGGTCAAAGTGCGGTGTTCAGCTGAGAGGAAAAGTTTCCCTCACCCTTTCCCTCGCCCATACCGTCCGGCCTAATAAAGATACTTTAACAAAAAAAAATGCAAAAAGTTATTACGAATTACGATTGTCAAATTAGAAAATTCTGTTAAAATTGAGTGATTAAGTAGGAAAAAATGTCAAGTAATAACAGGGTATGATGATTTATTTTTTCGACAATAACAAGGTATGATGATTTTTTTAAGAATAAAAATGTTTTAATAAAAATAAAAATAAAATATAAGTTGTTGAATTACAAAACAAATGAAATATAACGATTTTTATATAATTTCCCATGTTTAAAACACCATAAGCCTAGTTGTAGTTTCAAAAGCTTGGAGATGTTTCGAGGCTTTAATTTACTAAGAAATAACTTTTTGACTTTTAGCTTTTACAAAAAGTTAAAAAGTTCAAAAAATGTTTGAGAATTAGAATAAAACTTTTCAAAATAATTTTTTGCCAGGAAGAAAAAAAAAGTTTGTTATAGCTCATGAAATTATATCTTTTTATGACTTTGGCATTTTAAAAGGTAAAAGACATTCAAAAAATCAAAAAATATCATCCATAAAATTTATTTTAAAACAACTTTTAACTATTACTACTTAAAAAAACTTTTATAAAAAGAACTTTGGATTACCTCCTAAAGTACTAGTAATCAGCATAACTCAAATTTGATGAGTACGCCGTCGTATTAGGATTGGCGTTTAGTAAGTTCATTGAAGGGACTTGAGCAAATGCAAATGTCAAATTCAATGGATTCACAGGCGGAAACCCTAGAAGGTAACCAAGACATCGATCATCAAAGCCTTGACTACGACATCGACGCAGCAGATGATTTCGAAACACTGGCTCGAACATGGCTTTCCACGCTTCCCGCAGACAAGTCTCTAAACCCTTCCGAAGTCGAAACTTGGCTTCAATCCAACAATTCCTCCTTACCCGATCCCATCAAATCAATGCCTCTATCAGATGTATGCCAGATGTTTACTTCGTTTTTAAACGATGGAAATCTCTCCAACGAGGTAGTCTCTTCATCTTCCACACTTTTTATTCACTATTCTGTTATCAATAGCATGTGTAAGCACACTTCCGGCATTATCCCGAAATCGGGGATGTTTTAACTTGTTATGAATTCAATAATGTAAGATTTAGCATTAAATACGGTTTTGTTTTTGTAATTTGGATCTAGCTAGTGCCTCTTCAGAAAATTAGCAATCCTAAGACTGTAAATTTCAAATGCTTTTCGTTTCTACTTCAATAGTGTTTCAGTTGCAATTTATATGATGTTAAATGGCATATTTCATATGTAATATGTAATATGGTAATTGTAGTGATAGTGGTTTTCTGTTGTGGTAGGAAAAAGATCCTAATCATGCTCGTTTCCAGCGTAGTGATCAGTGGAAGCCTATTTATTCATGGTTAGAAACATTAAAAACAGAGGAGGTAATTAAGTCAAAAGAAATTATAGATTGGCTTACTGAGAACCCAGAGATCAGGGATGATTTGTCTGCAAGACACTCCCGTTATCACCTAATGCACTACATTAAAAAATGCCACATGAAAATTCTCAAGAGAATAGAGAAGAAGAAGGTAAATTTTACATTCTCATATTGCTTTTATAATTTTTTTCACTTGATGCAACACATATGATTTCTATATTGGCATAAATGAATCACTTGTTCATCTGGAGTGGACGTCATTCATCATTAATAGAGTAGATATTGGTGATATCCATTTTTAGAGTTCATTAGATCCTTTACACTTTGACTTTGCAGGGATTGCATGCAACCATCAAAACAACTTCTCCAAGTCCAAAAGCTCACAAGATTGAGGAAAATAAATCTCCAGTTGTGGTTCCAAGTATGTAACTTGCATTTATACCCTAATTTTTTTTTTTATCATTCTATTATATTATGTATTTAGTGTAGTGTACTTACTATATATAATATATGATTGGAAATTTTGGTAGGTAGTAGTGTGACCAAGCTGCCCAAGGATAGTCCCATATACATAGTCAAAAGAAATGAAGCTTTTCGGAAATATGAGATGTGAGATTCTTTTTTCATCTATTGTATTTTTCTTTATGCTTCATAGAATCCTTCTTATTAAAAAATATATATAATTGTATTTGTTCAATTGTGGTTGCAGTTTAATAGAAATGGAGAAACAGCTTGCCACCTTCTTCCAAAATCAAGAAGCCACAAATGTTGTAGCAGGGCCATGATGATCATAGGATAGCATCATGTCATGTACATGACCCCAAATATGTAGAAAGCCTTGAGACTTCACTCGACTTTTAAGTTGATATTATTAACATCATCAGTTTCATCCAAATATTTAAATCCTAACTGACAATTTTAATTCAAATCTGCAAAAGTTCAAAACACAATTAAAATCTTATGTTTATGAATTAATGCATTGGAAACTTGGTCATCAACAAATGAATAACCTTTACTTTTTTTGTCACAAACATTGATTTGTATGACCGTTTCCTCCAATTTGTTGTTTTATAGATACGTCATAATTCTAAAAAAGCGTTAGAATAAATAAATAAACATTACAATACACTATATTCAAAGGCGTATGCTTAAATCTCTATTTCACATTTGTTTTAATCTCATCATAAAACATTTTGTAATATGCTACTTGTTAGTTGTTACTTTGTCATGTCTACCGTATTTCGAGACAGTTCTTATTTCATTAATTCTTTTTGCACATTGTTGCAAGATCTCTTTTATGCACATACACAGGCACTGCTACAAAATACAAATAGTATCAAGTACGGTATAAAAACAAAATATGATAAAATACTACTATGTTTTATTTATTAATAACGGTGTCATACTAAGTTCTAACCCTCTTAACAAAATTGTGATGATATAGCTTGATATAAAAGGCTCTCTTATTTTGAATATTTAATAGATTTGATTAAGTAATCAACCAATGACAATGTCTAAATATGAAAATGTGATTAAAAGATCGTGGAAAGCCTAGACATATCTAGAAAAATCATCCGCATGGAGTCAATTCGGCAAAAAAACACCAATACAAATAACAATGTAGCTAACAATCACTTTGTTCTTTCTTTTTGGTGGTGGATTTTTTAGATCGGATTGATGCTCGCGTGATGGCCAGACTGAAAAAATCGAGATTTTTATGACAATGTTATGGGTTATTTGGACGTCTCAGAAT